CGAGTAACAATAGATTCTCGTAACTATGAGGTTCATGGTTGGCCCAATATGATCTTATAACTTCATTCGAATGAGCTAGGGTTCGACTGACTGCATCTCCTCCGAAGGCATCTGTATGGTTCCGGGCGGGTATATCGGGTTGAAACTAATCACTCGTTCCGTGCATCTTGAGAAATGCTCCTACACAACCGAGCATCTCAAATAGACTTTACGGAGGAAACCGTTCTGACTACATTCACACGGTGCAAGTGTTTTCCAACCAACATAATAAAGCAAATAGCCAAACCCAGGACTATAATCAGGTTGGTGAACCACTGGCAGTTTCCCTGAGGGAGTTGGTTTCGAACTCTGATTCCCAACCAACTACGCAAAGGCGTACGAACTACATATACACATTACTGTGATAGTTCCCACCGACTTAATTGAACTTCGGTGTTTCAGGTACCTTGGACGTTCGACCCCGTCCGAGGGGCGTGTGATCCGATGAACCGAACCCCGGATCTAATGGATTGTTTATTTCGATCATTGCTCCGCTGCCTTGCTGGTCAATTTTGAGCTAGTCAAAGGCTTCCATTGTGAACTTCCCGAGAAAGTTCACGTGCTTTGGTCTGGGCGACCTGGCAGTATTGCGCCCACAAATACTGTACCATAATTCGTTTGACACTGTACTTAGTCGTATTTGACAAGTTACATATATGGTATGGACGATTCCATCGAGGTCTTACAACGAGATAGAGCACTGTCATGCTTCTCACAAACCTGTGAGGTTAGCAGAATTTTTTCCGAAAGTCTCTATTTTCATGAGAAAATGAAATAACCAATGAGATACATCAGACGACTCCAGAGTCTCTTGAGTCCCTATTCGCTCAATCTTATCGGTAATCCTTATCCTGGAACTTTGTGATATCGATTATCGCGCATAGGATCTATAACACTAACGGTAAGCGTATGTAATATATATATATATATATCGTTCTCGGTTTTGCTATAGAGTATTCATTGTCCGGTTTAGCAAACAGTGGAATTTATCTACACCCAAGGAATAAACCTTTGTTTTACTTCCAGTAAACTGGTAACACTCAGCCCCGGGCCATAGGGCGCCCTTTGTAGCCAGGTGTATTTTATGCTTTGCACCATCCAACTGCTTGTACAAGATTAGCAGAAGCCTGTGTGCGTTCACCCTTTGTGGTGATCGGTTAGAAATAGTTGAGAACCTCAGGAGCTTGATGGTAACTGGAAGCGATTATGTTGGAGAAGTGATTTATTGGCAAATACGGAAGGCTAAATGAACACCCCTCCCGAACGGTTTTAAAAACCGCTTAAAGGATTAGATCTCTTGTTATAAACTTGAATGTATTTCCTCTTTTTCATATGACCAATCCAGGTCAGGCGAAGTTAAGATTGATAGAAGGGTTTCATGAAGCAATCTGTGAATTATTGGAGATGCGTGTTGTTGTCTTGTTCTCCTGAGCCAAACTAACCTCATCTGACAGCATAGTACTTATTTTATCTTGATTTGCTGATACCGTGATCTATATAAATCCAAACCTAATCGATCTGTCTATGTCTAATAGATGTTTACTCGGCAGAAGAATTGAACTCTATTCCGGAATTCGCAAAAGTCAATGACGTATTGCGGACATGCTCGGAAAACACACAAGCCCTGGCTGCAGTAATCAGCTTTCTGCAATTGCCTACCCCGAGTCAGATGAAGAAAAAGAATCCGTTTTATAGAACCAAAGCATTCATCGCAAAGTCCTCATTCCGTTCTCCAAAGTTCGTTAAAATTGTGCGCGAAAAGAAGACAGTCGATTCGAAATACGTTCCTTCCGAGAAGCAGGATTCAGAAAATTCGGCCTCCAAAGTAAAACGAAAAAGCGAAAAGCTAAAACCGAAGCGTCCGAAAATACTTTAACGGTTTACTAAATGGTGGTAATTTGTATATTCTTCATATAATCAGATGCGTGCAATACAATTTCTCCTGAGTCATGCTAGTTTTCGGGTTGGAAATATGCTTACGAATTGGCTTGAATTAATGAAATCGTAGGTAACCGAAGTCGTTGGTTCATTGCAGAGTGTACGATGGATGAACTGCAGCACACGGGTTTATATACGTCTCCAGTAACGCTCTCCCACCTCAAGATTGCCCTAGCTCTTCTAAAAAATATCATTTACCTCTTCACGATCAATTTTTCTCATGGAGCTATATCACTAGAAACTACGAGACAACGGTCTTAGAGGACACTTGAACACCACCAATGCAGGTTGAGCCACTTTGGAAGAAGCACAGTAAAAAGCGCTATCTGCCGCCTTAGTGAAGATACGGCATCTATTCGTTATCGTTCAACACTTCCGTTTTCTTTATCACACCTTCAGCATTGTTCAGGCAACTCCAGCTTNCAGCTTGTCACCGTGTGCGCCACCGAGATTATTCCGCTTCACACGGATTATTTTCCGGCTAATGATGCAACGGAATCTCCGTTCTAGCTTAAAATAAATGAATGTGATATGTTCTCCAGTACAGTAGCCGCCTCTGAGGCACACTGTGACAGCCTATACTAGGGAGAGAAATGGACAATAAACGAATATTAACCTAACCACCACCGCGCTTTTGTGTTGTATATTAGCATATGTTGAGGCTCATAGTGACGGAAAGTATTCGAAATCCGAAATCTTCAGTATGGTTGGGGGTGGGTGTTTAGGGTTGATGACTGATCGCCCTTCCATTACGCCTCGTGAAATGCTCCCATACGACCAAACGTCTCAAATAGCCTCGATTAAGGAAGCCTTACTCACTGCGTTCTCGTAGCGGAGGTGTTTCCTCACTAAAGTGAGATGACGAAAAGCCGACATCCGGGGTGGTGGACCACTGGTAGTTCTCCTAGGGGAGTTGGCCAAAAACCCTGATTCCAAACCAACTACACACCTTTCCGGTTGTGGCAGTGGTCACCGGCTCGATTGGGCACCTTGGACGTTTGGCCCGTGCAAAGGACTTACGATCTGATGAACTGAACACCGGTTCCCAATGGATTGCGGTTTCCACACCGCCCAGCTGCCTTACGGACCAGGTTTTGGCTGGCTGAAGGCTCCGGCTGTGGATTCCTGAAGAAAACCTGCCTTAGCCTGGACAACCGGGCAGTATCATGCCCACATGCAAATCGTTGAACGTTTTTCTTTTTATAAAGATTATTGTACCATGGTTTGTTTGGCACACAGTCTGGTTTGAAATATAATATAACCAAAACGAAAACCCAAACAGTTCCGTTACATGTGCTCTGCACATTCATTCATCCCTGGATCAAAATTTTCCTCAGAAATATTTACTTTCAGATCGCGATCCTTGGAATTCGGCGTACCAGTCCTTTCAAATTGGTCTCTTACTACTTGGGAACGTGTTCAAGGTAGAATGTTCACACATACGTGCGATTTGCGTCAACTTAGCATGAGACTTGGAAATGTTGGACCAAGTCCTCAAGGTCTGTAGCGTTGTTTAACTAATTGGACTAATGAACAATTGCAAACATTTTTTGATTACACACGAAGTGACTTACAGCGAAAGGGGCACACCTGATAATCAATAGCATATTGTATTGTAAACACTCAAGTGGGAATAAATTTGTTAATTCTACTTTTGAAAAGAGTAGATTCTAAGTGCTTTAAGACACGGGGATGGGAAGTGTTACACAATTTTGCAGTCCTGGAGAAAAAGAAGATTGGAAAATAGAAGTCCAACATCTGGGGACAGAAACCTGGTGAAGGTGACTACCTGCCCGAGAAAAGATTAATAAGAGGGGGAATCGTTAAAGCGCGTTCAGAAGAGCAGAAAACAAAATAAGAACGATCGAAAAAAGATAAAGCAACTTCAATGGGAAACAACTGCTGGTTGAAAGATAAAGACGGTTCGTTGATCAGGCGGATAACCTTACGTTGAACACCATAGAGGAGAGAAATATCGAAATGAAGCTCCATTCCATATGTGGTATTCGGGTATCGGGCAGATTTGAGCTTTGTATAAAAAGTACTGTGGCTTGTAAAATCGCTTTTCGCGGAATAGAAAACCGACTGCGCAGCGCGAGAGACGAGTGTGAAAATAAAAGGGGACCAGAGGAGAGAAATTACGGATATACCCAGGAGGGGGAGAAATCGTTGAACGAAAAGGCATCGGATCAAAAATCCATTAAGGATTATAAGGGATGCCTATAAAAGAGACGGAAGGGAGAGAAGTATCGGAGGCATTGAAACACATTCTTGGTAGAACCCTATGCGGAGATGAGTCCGAGATCGCAGGCAAGAGAAGTGCTAATGGCATTACGATCGTGATCGATGTTGGTAGTAGCTTGATGAAGTGTGGGGTAAGACAGAACAGAGAGAGTGGCATCGTCGGCAAAGCCGTGGATGGGATTAGAGGTTTTGGGTAAAACGTCCTTGATGATTAAAAGAAAGAGAGTGGGCGAAAGTATGGAACCTTGGGGAACACCGGCGTTCACAGGAAATGGTCGAGATAGGACCTCATCTATTCGGATGGAGATGGTTCGCTCGCTGAAGAAACGACGAAGTCACGATATCAGAGACGGGTGGAATCCGAACGCGGGTAATTTCGACAGCAGACCTTCATGCCAATCGCAGTCGAAGGCCTTAGAAATGTCGAGCGAGACCATGTGAGTTTCTCCGTGGTTATCGAGTGCAGTTGACCAGGAATTTGGTGTGAGCGGCAATATGTCACCCGTAGATCGACTAGGGCGAAATACATTTTGACGGTCATTCATCAAACCTTTGCGTTCGAGAAACGTACGCAGCTGATCGAAGATAATGGCTTCAAACACTTTCGAAATTGAGCGAGGGACCACAATGTCCGGTTACCGGTGGCGGAAGAAGCCAAGCGCACAGCGTTCTTCAGCTCTCTGTACGGTGAACAAGCATTTGTTTCTGGCTTGCACGAAGCGGTTGCAGGATGCTAGATTGGGTGAGTGGCACCAACATCGGAATGCTGAGTTTTCAAGTCAGTAGTAGCTTTATGCCCCCGGATGGGTGAATTTTCAGCATTTGAATCGTATTTGTGGATTCAAGGTTATAAAATCATTACATAATGAAAATGAAAGCAGCAGATTGTGTTTGTCATTGTCATTTGCGCAATTCTGTGGAAATTTTCTCTTTGTCAACATGTAGACGTGCTAGATATGGCAGAACAGAATTACGATAAGCAGAGGTGCGAGCAAATAAAGGTTTAAATGTTGGGCGTGTGGATGGTGTAGATACAGCTTTTGAAAATCCGTGCAATGGGTGGTAAGTATTTGAGAGTATTTTGGCAGTGAAACTTTCGCATGCTTGTGGGTGTCCGTCTATGATAGAATCCGCGGGTTTATCCCTGACAATGCCGCTACATTTAGAGATGTGTTTCAGAGATCTCGCCAGTAAATCAAATTTTTTCTTCAACATACCGGAAGAAATCACTGGGAGCAATACAACCAGTGGGGTAGCACGCATGCCTTCACAAACCTAACAATCAGCTTATGGGGAACAGAAAGTAATCTCAATCGGAGTGAGAAATATGAAAGCTTTCTAACTTTACAGAATGTGTTTTGAACATGCAGTGACCATGATAAATTGTGTGATAAGATGACGCGAAGGTGTTTTATTATTGTTGATTTGCAGAGAGGGTGGGGAACCTATCTGTGAGGGCTGAACATCATACATCGGCCAAGAGGGAAAATACAACATCTTGACATTTAGAGGCATTCAGTGAGAGGGAACGGGACAGGGACCAAGTAACAACGTCGTTCAACTTGCTTTGGATTTATGAAGCCTCTTCAGGGATGGATGCTTTGCAACCTAAAACAAAGTCATCTGCGTATTTACAGCCAATGAACGCAGGAGGAATGGGAAATTGTTTGAAATACATTGAAAAGAAGATTGGGGGAATATTGCACTTTGCGGAACACCAGAAGAAACTGGGCGAGTGGAGAACTTTTTTCCGTTGAGGCACGTAAACTGCCTTCTACTTGTGAAATAATCGCCGATCAATCTGCTAACGTTTGGATTAACATCACTTCCGGTGATCAGGTTGAGCAATACTGATCGATCAAGACTGCCGAAAGCGTTTTTGTAGTCTAAGAACAGCATTTTTATTTAGTGCCGAAATTACTGAATGAACAAGATATGCAACAGCATCAAGTGTTGGGCGCTAAGAACGATATGCATATTCATGTATGTCATCTTCTTCAGACTCAGTGACAATCCACGGTAACAATCATCTCTCAAATAATTTGAGCATGACTNGTGCAGGCGATGAGACGATACTTCCCAGGTTCCTTTTTGGGAACGGGAGTGATCTTGGCCAGTCTCCAAATAGGAATTTTTCCGCCTATCAGACAGTCATTGAATATTTTTGACAACGGGGTTGAAAAGGTGTCCGCACATACCTTGATCTACAAGGGTGATAGTTCGGCATAGAGCTGAGTATGTCTGGCAGGGCAGTGTACTATGAAACTGGACTAAACTCAGAATTTAGTCTTTCAATGTCGACGGTTTCTTTTTTGTGTTTATTGCTACTGCCACACAATCGGTTGATAGCCCTCCACATGCCACGGGATAGTGTCGATGTACAATTTCTTCGACCGATTTATTTCTGCTTTGCTCGAAATCTTTAGCAGCTTAACATGGATTGTTTGTTCTTGTTTATAGGCTTGTTCTTTCCGCCTGCGTAGCTGCTTTAGTAGCGGTGATGAATATCTGTCTTTATGGATAAAGACCGTTTCTAGTGGGCAACATTCGTTAAAAAAGAAACTAAGGTAGTCCGTAACATGCTCACAGAGAACGGAAGGGTTCTGATCGGGAAACACCGAAAAATCTGTCGTGGCAATCATGGATCTTAGCTTTTCTAGATTCTCTGATGAACAATTTCTTCGACTCAATATC